GTACAGTTATGTTGGGTTCTTTGACTAAAAATCTATTTGCTGAATTTGAAAGTGCTCTGTAGAGTGTGGACTATCTGAACTATAAACAAATAAAGATATACTAGCATAAAATTCACAGAATTGTCACAATGTGTAACTAGTTTGTAGAAATCCTCTTCTGGAAACTCATGTTCCTTGTTAAACCCAAGAGTAAAAGAAAAAAAAAAAAAAGCAGTACTTTTTTAATCTCTTCTCTTAAGAAAGGCTGCCCATCATAATGATCTTAAGATCATGATTCTTGAACCAGACTGCTTAGGCTGAAATCCTGTCTTTCCACTTACTAACTGTGAGACTGGACCATTACTTAGATTCTACGTGTCTTACATTTATCATAAGGAAACTAAGGATAACATATATACCTTTTAGGATGTGTGCAAGAATGGAATGGGTTAACATTTGTAAATTGTTTAGTAAAATGCTATTGAAATATTTGAGAATTAAAATGTTGATAATTATTTGGTGTGTGTGGCATTCTTTAAAAGACAAATTAGGGAAATGTAGTTATTAAGGAAAACATATTTACCCTAAATGCCTTGCACTTCTTTTTGGTTAAAGCTTGCAACAACAAAAAAGTGGCTCAGACTCTCACTGGAATATTAATATATTTGTAATTACTGTAGCATTGCAGCGATGTGCCCTTTTTCATTCTTGACATTAGGTATTTGCTCCTTTATTTTTTCTTTATTAGTCTTATTAGGGGCTTAGAATTTTTGTTTTCAAATATAGGTATATACTTTTCTATTCCACTAATGTCTTCACTTATTTACTTCCTCTTACATTATTTTCTTCCTTTTACATTCTTTGAGCTTAATGTGGTGTTTATTTTTCCAAAATCATGAGGTGGAAGCATAGCCTTTCTTTTAAATGATCTATGCCTTGTAGACTATATAGTTTCCTCTAAGTATGCCATTAGCTGTGTCCCAGACATTTTATGTCATTTTAAACCATTATTCAAGTCAAAAATAGTTTCTAGTCTCCATTTTGTTAGGGTTTTTTTGACCTGTGAGTTATGTAAAAATATGTTTCTTCATTTTCAAACATATGGGGATTTTTCAGTTAATTTTTGTTATTTATTTCTATCTTAATTTGTCTTGGTTAAAAAATATTTTCTGTATGATTTAATCTTATGAAATTTTTGAGACTTGTTTATGAACCTGCACATATATGGTCAATTTTTTTAAATGCTCCAGTGTACTTGAATATAATATGTATCTTGAAATTCTCGAGTTTGATATCCTCGTTCATTCTGTTTTTTTAATTGCAAGATCAAGTTCATTCTGTTTTTTTTTTTTTTTTTTTTTTTTTTTTTGTGGTACGCGGGCCTCTCACTGTTGTGGCCTCTCCCGTTGTGGAGCACAGGCTCCGGACGCGCAGGCTCAGCGGCCATGGCTCACGGGCCTAGCCGCTTAGCGGCATGTGGGATCTTCCCAGACCGGGGCACGAACCCATGTCCCCTGCATCGGCAGGCAGACTCTCAACCACTGCGCCACCAGGGAAGCCCCATTCTGTTTTTTTAATTGCACATATATTCAGTGATTTTTGGCTAGCTTGTTTTATCTCCATCAATTTTGCTTTACACATTTTGAGGTTATGTTTTTGAATGTATAGAAATTTAAAATCGGCATATGTTCCTGGTAACTTGAATGCTTTATGTTATAAAGTATTCCCCTTTTATCACTGTGATGATTAGTTTTATGTCAACTTGCATAGGCTATAGTACCCACTTCTTCAATTAAACACTAATCTAGGTTGCAGCGAAGGTATTTTGTAGGTATGGCTAACATCTATAGTTAGCTTTGAGTAAAGGAGATTAAGCCTAATAACTTGAGTGGGCCTTATCCAATCAGTTGAAAGGTCTTAAGAGCAAAAACATAGGAGAAATTCTGCCTGTGAACTGCAACATGAGATTCTGTCAGAGACTTTCCAGTTTTCTGCCTCTCCCTCTGGATTTCAGACTTCCTAGTGCCCACAATCATATCAAATAAACCCATACCCTGATATGTGTCTATCTATCTATAATCTAGTCATATCTATCTGAAATATCTCCTACTTACTGGTTCTGTTTCTCTGGAGAATCCTGAGTGATACAGTATCTAATGATACTTTGTGCCTTAAAGTCTACACTAAATATTTACACAGCTGTGCTACTTATTTTTATTTGTTTTCTGTGACGTATATTTTTATCATTTTACTTTTCAACCTTTCTGCATCCTTATATTTTGGATTTTTATATTTTAAATAACATATAAAAATGATGTTTTTAAAAGCCCAGTCTGACAATCTTTGTAGTTTTAAATTGGAATGCTTAGTCAAGTTACATATGATGTATTTATTGATATACATGATTTTAAATCTACCATTGAACTATTTTCTTTGTGATAACTCTGTTTAGCATCCATTTTTCTCTTTTTATGTCTTCTCTTGTATTGATTAAGATTTACTTCTTAATCAGTTTTTCCATCTATTGGCTTATTGCTTATAATTGTAACAGCATTTACCAACTGATTACCGTAAAGATTAGAACAAACATCTGTAACTTTTCAAAACCCTTATAAATTAGTTCTCATTTATCATTCCAGAAAATGCAAGAATTTTAATAACATTTATATCTATTCTCATATTCATGCTATTGTTGTAATATATTTAATTCTATCTATCATGTATCTATCTAAATAAATAAATAAAATTTTGCTGGTATTTTTGGCTTCCATATGGATAGGCCAACATCATATTTTTTGTTTTCTCCCTTGGGCCTGATTTCAGCAGTTTTAGCCTCATGAACCATTCATTTTTTTAAATATTTTTATCTTTTATTGAATTATAGTCGGTTTACAATGTTGTACTAATTTCTTCTGTACAGCAAAGTGATCCAGTTATATATATATATATATATATATATATATATATATATACACACACACACATTTTTTATATTCTTTTCCATTACGGTTTATCATAGGATATTGAATATAGTTCTCTGTGCTACACAGTAGAACCTTGTTGTTTATCCATTCTACATATAATAGCTTACATCTGCTAATCCCAACCTCCCACTCCATCCCTCCCCCAATCCACTCTCCCTTGGCAACCACAAGTCTGTTCTCTATGTCTGTGAGTCTGTTTCTGTTTTGTAGATAGGTTCATTTGTGTCATATTTTAGATTCCACATGTAAGTGATATCATATAGTATTTTTCTTTTTCTTTCTGACTTCACTTAGTATGATAATCTCTAGTTGCATCCATGTTGCTGCAAGTGGCATTATTTTGTTCTTTTTTATTGACGAGTAGTATTCCATTATATATGTACCATATCTTCTTTATCCATTCCTCTGTCAATGGACATTTAGGTTGTTTCCATGTCTTGGCTATTGTGAATAGTGCTTCTATGAACATAGGGGTGCATGTATCTTTTTGAATTAGAGTTTTGGTCTGGGTATATGCCCAGAAGTGGGATTACTGAATCATATGGTAATTCTGTTTAGTCTTCTGAGGAACCTGCATACTGGTTTCCACAGTAGCTGTACCAACTTACATTCCCACCAACAGTGTAGGAGGATGAGTAAGTCATTTTAAAGAAGAGTCGCCATTGTGTTCTCTTGGCTGTGTAATTTTAGTTTCAGTTTTCTCTATCTTTACTGTAAAGAGGACCTATTCTTGGAAAACTACATCTTAAAAAAAAAAAAGCCATAATGTAATAAGGAAGAATAGTGTGAAAAACATTCTATAATGTAGTCATTCCAATGTAATGTACTATTGAAATGTATTTTAAGTACTGACAAGCTGGATGACAGCACTGCATTGTCTTTTAATATACTGAACACTAACTCCTTTTTTTCCTTTTGACCGTCATAAGGAACAACATGGCTTCTTCTCTTGCTTCAGCTTCTTGTATGAGATTATAAGATCACATGATGCCTGTAAGTGACCACAGACCTGCAGTAACCCTGAAAATCTTTACCAAATGCAATCTTTTTTTTTTTTTTTTCTGCTGTTCGCGGGCCTCTCACCGCTGCGGCCCCTCCCGGTGCGGGGCACAGGCTCCGGACGCGCAGGCTCAGCGGCCATGGCTCACAGGCCCAGCCGCTCCGCGGCATGTGGGATCTTCTCGGACCGGGGCGCGAACCCATGTCCCCTGCATCGGCAGGCAGACTCTCAACCACTGCGCCACCAGGGAAGCCCCCAAATGCAATCTTAATTGCATTTTGAAAGAACCATTTTCAAGGTGTTTTATCCTTTCTTTCAACTATGAACATATTCCAGAGTCTCCAAATGTGGACTGTTTCTTTATCAGTCCCTTAGAGATCAGATGAAGTAGAGATGCAGGAAAATCTTCCTTAAAAATGACTCATTAGGAATATGAAGAAGAAAGAACAGTATCATTGTGAATGCACATAAAAGACTGGGTAAGAAAAATGGAGCTAGGGGGTGAAGAGATGTTATGTTTCTAAATTCTTCATGTGCTTGCTTTTTTCTTTCTTTTTTTTTTTTTTCTATTTCAGAGGCACTGACTCTGGGTACCAGAGATTTTCTTTCATGGCTACTGAAACAAGACACTAATATGTTCAAAGAACCCTGGGGGTTTAAAGAAGGCCAGTAACTAATAACTAAATGATGGTTTAGGACGTTAGCCATGATTAAATTCATTATTTTAATTCAAAGATTCAAAAGTTCCCATAAAATAAAAATGTTCTTTCTGGTCACCTATTTTTATGGTTTTTGTTGTTTCAGGCCCTTTCTGATTTCCTTAAGGCAGTAGATGTTCCTAGTAATAAATGTTTGCCAGAATATAAATTTTCAGTTTCTTCGTATGATAAATAGTGAGACTTTTTTAGTTTTATTTTTCATCAGATTACACGTAAAGGAAGTAGAAAATGAAACTATTCTAAAAGTGGAAGTAATTTCTTGCTGCCTGTGAGGTGAGTTGTGGTCATTGGCTATGACAGCATCTCTAATAAATAGATGATCTGAAACTACTCAAGAGACTGAGAAGTACCAGAGGAGCAGGCTGTAAGAATGGCACCTGGCAAGTCATCTCCTGTGGAAACTTCTTGGAAGATCTTTGAAGAATACCACATAGATGAAGATGTGGGCTTTGCTCTGCCCAATCCATTGGTAAGAAAGGGCACTGAGATCTGGGCAAAAATATTTTCTTATCATGATTTACCTGGACAAGTTAACTTCTATAGAACAAATGTGGTTCAGTAATTTCTATTGAACAAGTGGATAAAGCATTACCAAAATTGGAGGCAGGGTTTGAAAAAAGGGGTCTCAACTTTCTTAAAATTTTCTACCTAGAAACTTAGCCTTAGAAGCACTTCTTACTTATCTTACACAGGCACAGAGCGTGATGAATTAAGGAGACTACAGAAGTATTTTGGTTTAAGGCAATTGCATTTCAGAGGGTATTTTGAAAAAAAAAAAAAGTAATAAATGACCCATGAGTCAAAGAACTCCCTTTCTCAGCTGATATACCTTAGATTGTATAAAGTATGTGTTCCTGCTTTGATAATGTTTTTGAGGTGGGCCACCAAGCAACTTTGTGTTGTATTAACATTGCTGGGTGTTTACTGAGCCTAAGATTCAGGCTTAGAGAGAATTAGAGCTACCTTTTTATTTCCACAAGTTTTGCCTACAAAGGGCAAGGCATTAGAGTGAATGTGTGCCTTAAAACTACATTTTCCTAAGTTATCTTCCCAAGATTGTCATGAAAAGCATCTTATCATTAATATTGCAATCATCAAACACTTAACATCGCATTTTTTTAGCAAATTTACAAATGTTAACTTACTCCGTCTTTACAATCATCCTGAAAGGTATGTATGTTATTAATCTTGTTTTCCTGATGAGAAATGTAGAATGCAGAATTTAAGTAATTATCCAAACTCACACAGCTAGTGATAGCAGAGATAGGATGTGAGCCTAATCAGTCTGGTTCCAGAGTCTGTGATCTTTTTTTTCTTTTTTTAACATCTTTATTGGAGTATAATTGCTTTACAATGGTGTGTTAGTTGCTGCTGTATAACAAAGTGAATCAGCTATACATATACATATATCCCCATATCTCCTCCCTCTTGCGTCTCCCTCCCAGCGTCCCTATCCCACCCCTCCAGGTGGTCACAGGTGATCTCCCTGTGCTATGCAGCTGCTTCCCACTAGCTATCTAGTTTACATTTGGTAGTGTATATATATCCACGCCACTCTCTCACTTCGTCCCAGCTTACCCTTCCCCGTGTTCTCAAGCCCATCCTCTATGTCTGCGTCTTTATTCCTGTCCTGCCCCTATGTTCTTCAGAACCTTTTTTTTTTTTTTTAGATTCCATATATGTGTTAGCATACGGTATTTGTTTTTCTCTTTCTGACTTACTTCTCTCTTTACAGCAGAGTCTGTGATCTTAAAACTGTTATCAATTATGCTACACAGCCTCACTCAAGAGGAGAGATCACAAGGCATTTTTTGTTGGGCTTTTTCCCTACTCTTGGGTTTAACAAGGTACATGAGATTCCAGGAGAGGATTTCTAGGAACCAGTTACATGTTGTGACAATGCTGTATACCAGGATGTCTCTATTTGTTTGTGGCTCAAATGGATGAGTGCACACTCTAAAGGGAACCTTTAAAGGCAGCGTATATATAATTTACTCAGAGATTCCAATCTAACCGTACTTAGAAATCACATCCTGTAACTACCTTGGGTAATTCAGGCAAATCTCAAACAATTTTTTTTCCCCAGTCTAGTCTTCCTCTTCGCATAATTAAGTTAATTGAAGAAAATGAAGTATGTTTTAATTTTTTTACTAAAAGCACTGGTTTACTTTATATTTGCAAATCCATAATATTCAGACTTACTTCCCCTTCATACAAGCACACAAGTGCCATAGTGCCAGGATTGGATGTTTCAAGGATGTATTTATCAATGGTACTAAAAAAAAACTTTTTCAGAAACTGCAAATCCTCATATCAAATTTATTCTTTTTTTTTCCTAAAAAGTTGGTTCTTTTGGAAAATAAAAAAAATCACAGTAATTATGTAGACCTCTAAAACAGATTCCAAGGGTTAAAGCAAAACCCGAAAACTAAAGCAAAACAAAACTCTTCCTGAGCTACTTAAAAAATAATGTTGCTACTTGAGATGCTTAGGAAGTTAGATTCAATATCCTAAAACAGGATGGAAAAAAAAAAAAGAGGTTACTTTTATTTCCTCACTGAAGATCTTTCCTGGAAATTATGTGTTCAAAAATGTCTATTTCATCTCTTATAATCTATCAGCTTCCTATTCTAAAGGAAAATAATATGTCTTCTGATTCCATGTAGATGCAAAATACATTCTCTAATCTAGCAGGAGTTGAATGGCCCTCTGTGTCACTCTTTATTAATTTATATTCTATCATTTAGGCATCCTCTGAACCAGAAGGATATTACTGATTGAATTTTACATGTGTTGAAAGTTCTGTCCAATAAGACACTAATCTTGACACATAATAAAGTATCTCTGTTATTTTGGGGAAATAGCAATAATCAAAAAGTCAGGCATGCTACACAGTGAAATACACAGCAAAGAAAATGTATCTGTATTACTAAAAACACCAGAGCACAGTATTTGTGTGGTTAGGGAGAAAAACTCAGAGCAAACAAGAAAGGTGACTATCTAGTGAATATACTGCCTGGATCTTTCATTCCTAAAAATCTGCCCTGACAGATTAAGTCTGGCCAATTATCTGCAGCCCCTGAACATGTTTGAAGTTTATGTTACATTTGTCTTTGTGTTTTATAGCTTCTTTATAGTATTAACTTGGTTTTGAAGCTTAAAGCCTCACTCACCTTGGTTTCACCTTGATGTGTCCTCCATCCCCATAGTATTGGTGCTGCTAAGAGCATGTCTGGAAGCAGCTTAATGAAGAAGGCCTAGGGGAGTTGTTCAGGGATGTGAATCTCATTCCAGGGTGTGGCCTAGGCCTTTGGTTTTTATGTTTTCCCTTGAGATGTGATTATAAATATAAGATCCAGGGAGACACGTGTTAAAAAACAAAACCCAACTGAGTAAATTTTAAAGATGTCATTGGCTTCCTTCGGGGAATCATGAATCAGGCAGCATCCCAACTAGCAGAAAGAAAGGAGGTCTCAGGAGCTGCACAAAAATGAAAGATTTCTCTAGGCAGAAGAGAGCAGGAACACGGAAGTTACACCAGCAAAAAGTGGATTGGGGTGTCAAGGTCATGTTCCTTTAGGGAATGGCAGCAGTCTGTGAGCAGATGACCGCACTACTTGTTGGCCAGGTAATCCTGAATTGACTGGGTTAAGATTCCATTTTGGGAGAGGCAGAAACTGTCATAAGTATTGTGTTGATTTGGTGACATGGGACTTAAGTTACTCCATTTGGGGCCTGTTGTCTTGTTTTTAACACTCTTTTATTTGGATTTCACTTTTACTTGCTGGGCAAAAAATTAGCCTGTAGTACCAGAGGAAGCAATCAACATGTATATATACAGCACCTCGTACATGTCCAGTACTGTGCTAAGAAAAATAGGATAAAAAGCATGATAAAATCCTTGCCATCAGGTAGTGAGATGTAAAAAGGGCAAGATTTTTTAAAAGCTGGAAACCCTCATGTTTGAATCACAATGAACTGTATGTACAAAACAAGTTACAAAAACTGCCCAACACTTGCTTTTCTTATTTATGACATGGAGATAACAATCAACTTTTGGGGCCATTATTATAACTAAATGAGAAATTACTGAGTAAAACTGCCTAGTCTCCTACTGACATTTAATAAATCTCATTTCTCTTCCATTAAAAAACCTTAAAATCTAGCTGAGAAGAGAAAAAAATAATAGCAGATAGCAATAAATTACTTAATGTGAAAAGGTAGAATCCACAGGATTCCTCACTGGAGGTATAAGAATAGAATGGAATAGTCAGGAAGATTTCAGTGAAACTTTTGAAGTGACCTCTGAAAAAGAAGTAGATGAGAGGAAGAAGAAGGGCACAGAGAAGGTCCTGAGCCCTGAGTGTGCAGATGACAATGCATGGGCTGGTGTCACTCGACAGGTAAGAGAGTGTCAGCATTGCACAGCACTGCGAAAGAGGCAAGACGGACCATCCGCGGAGGCAAAACTATTTTATGATACCTTCCACTAGTAACTCAAAGTCCTGTTTCTTCTTTTCAAGGAGGAGCTACCTCACCCTTATGATGCCTGGGTTTCCATTGCTAAAAATCTGCCTGAACTGATTAAGAATGGCCAACTACGTGCAGAAGTTGAGAAGGTTTGAAAAAATATGACGTTTTCTGTTTTAGCGTCTTCAAAGTGTTAACTTGGCTTTGCAGCTATCACAACATGCATTTTGAGTTGGGTCAACCTCTCTGTTTATTCTCAGTTAACAACCTTCAGCATTGACGGCCTCCAAGGACACAAGTTGCAGCGCCTTGCACATCTGGTTCTGGGGTATATCACCATGGCATACGTGTGGGGTGAAGGTGATGGAGACGTCCGGAAGGTTTGGAGATTTTCTCATATTTCTTATGCTAACATGACAGATTTATATCCCGTTTACAGTTAATGTAAAACATTCTAAAAGTATTGTAACTGCATTTTGTGAAGCTTGGGAAACAGAATGAGTACCTTGCACAGAGGAGTTGCCTAACGAATATTTATGAGATGGATGGATGCATGAGCGAATGGCTGCAAATGGTTCACTGGCCATTAGAAAATCAAGATACAGCTTTTATTTCCTTTCGCCCTCTACTGTTTTGTTCTCTCCATGCCCAGATTATGTCTGCATCGTCACAAATCTAAAACGTAAGGGTTTAACAAGCACTGGGATTAAGTTACGAAATAAGGAAGAGAAAATGACCTTTGTTTGGTTCCACAGTGCCCTTAGGTATAACAGTTAATGTTTTGACACCCAGAAAGCAGAAGAAAGGGTGAGACATTTCAAATGTGAACGCTAACTATCGTGTTTTAATTAGGTCTTGCCGAGCAATATTGCTGTTCCTTACTGCAAGGTATCTGAGAAGCTAGGACTGCCCCCTATTCTGGTCTATGCAGATTGTGTCTTGGCAAACTGGAAGAAAAAGGATCCCAGTGGGTACGTAAACAGCGATTATAACAGGAATGAAAGGAGTGCACACCATTTGAATCAAGGGGAGCTAGTCATTGGTTTAATCTTTGGCAGCGGGGCTTTCTTTTCTGCTGTTGGGGTGTAAAATGCATATGCATGTGAGAGAGAGGTGTCTAGTTAGCATACAGTGAAGTGCACACATCTTAAGTGTTCCGTTTGATTAATTTGACTGGCTGGATAGATGGCAATGTCTGGGCTTTCAAAGCAGCCTGCTTGAAACTAGGCACTTCCTAAGCACTGAGTGATGGAACCTGCTGCAGTGAAGGGTCAGAGGCTCTCAGTGTGTATCTACAGAGGAGTATTCTAGATGTGGGAATACCACAAAATGAAATTATTTGATCTAGAAAGCTTTCTTATGAGTAACAACTAGTTTTGACTCTCCACGTGTGCTCCTTGCATATTTAATTTTTTATTTCACTTATAAAAGTCCTAAGTTAGGCGTTTGTGATGCCTACTTGATAAATATCAGAAAACATATTTTTTCTAGTTTTTATCTATTGTTTTTACCTTTGCTAGATCAGTAGTATTAAATGGAATAACAATAATTCAAAAGCATTTAATGTTTACACTGGTTTCCTTTCTCTCTTCCAATTGATCCGCTGCTTCATGGCTGTTTTCCTAAGGCCCATGACTTATGAGTGAGTATTCGATCTTTTTTATTCTAAGAATTATTTGTTATTCAAAGTAAACATAGGTGTATCAATACCCTCCAAATGTGTTCTTTTGAAACACCAATTGATTTTAGGCAAAAAGTAAATCAAATGATTGTTGAAAGAGCAAGTAGTTCTGGTTCTTAATAATATCTATGACTGTGATGAGACTGTATCTGTTTGATATTATAGCTATTAATATATATACTTGCATATGCAGATGATACCTCACTTAAGGATGGTTTGACTTAAGATTTTTTTGACTTTAATATGGGGCAAAAGCAGTACACATTCACTAGAAACCGTACTTTTTTGATCTTTTCCTGAGATAGATACGCAGTACATAGTCTCTTGTGATGCTGGGCAATGGTCACGGCTCCCCAGCAGCCCCGCAATCAAAGGATAAGCAACTGATACAATTACAACCATTCTGCACCCAGACAACCATTCTGTTTTTCGTTTTCATTATTCAGTAAATTAAGTGAGATATTCCACACTTTATTATAAAATAGGCTTTGTGTTAGATGACTTTGCCCAACTGTAGGCTAATGTAAGTGTGCTGAGCACATTTAAGGTGGGCTAGGCTAAGCTATGATGTTTGGTAGGTTAGGTGTACTAAATGAATTTTCAACTGAAAAGATTTTCACCTTAAGATGGGTTTATTGAGATGTAACACCATCATAAGTTGAGGAAGATCTGTCAGTAAATTTAATTAATATGCATATATACAAAATGCACATACACCTACGCATCTATGACTCAATGACTTCAGAGGCCAGAAATATAAATCTATTCCTTTTGACCCAATTCTTACTATTTTTGGCCTGTGTACTAAATAGAGGCTAAGAGCTAAGGAAACAAAAGTCATTATCATTGGAATAAGCCTGCCCTGATGAACCTGGGCTAATGTGGAGGAAAGAAGATATATGAAAATTATGTAAATTACTATATGATTAAGAGAAGGATTAAGAAAGTAAAGTGCTAAGAGTTCTAACCAAACAAAAGGCATGAGGGAAGAATCCTTACAACAAGTTATTGAAGCTGAGTCCTGAAGAGTGACTAGGCATCAGTTAGAAGAAGGAAAGCCTGAGCATGTTCACAGTGGAGAAAACAGCAAGAGTGAGGGCTTTGAAGTAACAAAAATCTTGGTGCATTTCAGAACCGAAGGAAGGCTAGTGTCACTGATAAATAATGAATGACGAAAGTAACAGTACAGGAAACGGATGAAAAAATAAACTTAAAAATATTATGTAGGACTTTTGGCTCTGATATGGGGTTTAAACAGTATCTTAAATGGGAAGTTACGGAAGGTTTTCAAATGGGAGAATGATATCACCAGTCCCATTTGACAGATGAGAACGCTGAGGCTGAAACTGATGAAATAATCTTATTCAAGGTCACACAGCAAGTGGTCTGGGTTGAGACCATAAATTTAACTGCCATGAAACTCAGATATATACAGATACTGAGACCACGTTTGCATCAATGCAAAACTTCAGTGAAAAAGAAAATAGGGGGTAATCAGTTATTTGAATTTCCCAGTCAATTCCTTTGTTAGGCAGATAAATCACTGAGAAATTGAATCAGGCTCACAGATAAAAATATGGATATGAATACACTTATTTAAGCCAAAATTCTACTTTTAAAAACCATACCTCACAGATATCTCTATAAACATTGAGCTTATATATATATATATATATATATATATATATATATGTGTGTGTGTGTGTGTGTGTGTATATACAGTAATACATGTGTATGTGAAAAATTGATGGGATAATAGAGAAAGAACTAGTCTTAAAGTTTTTAGTTTCAAGTTCTAGAAAGGAATTTCAAGTCTCAGCTTAATCTACTGTTAATTATATGACCTTAGACAATAGACCTAACACTACTACTCCTAACTACATAATGGATATAGTAAAACCTGCCATACTTATCTCACAAGATTATTTTGAAAATGTAGGATAAATAAAAAGACTTGAAAACTAATAAATATTCAACAAATATATCAATATTTTTGTTAAATTCTTTTGTTTTTAGTGTTTTTGTTTTATATTTTTCTAAATTCTTGACTTCCTGGATTACTTTTCTTAGGAACATGGACATCCTATTCTCGTTTCCTGGCGGGGACTGTGGTAAAGGGTTCTTCCTGGTCTCTCTGGTGGTGGAAACAGCAGCTGCTTCTGCAATCAAAGTATGTCCGTCTATCCTGGAAAATGTATATCTTGATTCACATAAGCAGAGCAATCCCTTAGTAGCTGAACTATATTGTGCATGAAATAACTTTATCCTGACTGAATAGAGCATTTGGTGACTGAATTGGAGACAAGGGATCATCTGGAAGAAATAAATATTTTATTTGGTTTTGTGTATTACCTAAAAGATAAAATGTAGAAGCCATATATTTAGAATAAAATTTGAAACCCCAGTAAGAGAGAAGTATTCTCAATGAAACTTGGCATTGGAACTCTATCACACAGTGACATAAATCTAATGGTTTCATCCCTCAGAAATAGAAATATATAGAATTATATAAACTTATCTCTAAGTGATAAGTGAATAAGGACAAATCCAAGCTTAATTAAATATATGGAAATTAGTCAAACAATCAGACGGTACTCAGCCCAAGAAAGAAATGGAAATATGAAATTTAATTGGGGGATTAAGATTTAGGAGAATTCTATTCTATGCCAATATTTAGTGTTAGGAAATCTTAAGTGTTTGTTTTCTTTTTCTTTTTTTTTAAAGGTGATCCCCATTATATTTAATGCAATACAACGTGAAGACCCAGACACTTTGCGAAAGGCATTGCTTGATATAGCTTCTTGTCTGCACAAAGCCCTTGAAATATTTCACCAAATTCATGGCAAGTATTGTATGCCTTACAACATGCCAGGCCACAGTCAAATGTTTCTAGTTATCTAAGATGTAGAGAAAACAGAAGCAAAACCAACTCTCACATAGTGGGTGTGTTTGCGCTTTATTTTATCTCACTAAATCATTATACTTTCCATATGGCAGGTTTTATTATGTCCATTTTACATATAAGGGACTCTAAATTTGGAGGGATAAGATAAATGACTCAAGATTACATAAGTAGTAAATAGTGAAGCCAGAATTCCAAGCTAGGGCTATTTACCTCTGAGGAACATCCTTGTCTCTCACTAAAAACTGTGGAGAAACTTACCAAAAGTACAGGATGTTTTAAGTTCCGAAAAACTTAGCTTTTGCTTGATAGGAACCATCTGCGAATTCTGCTTTTTCACAAGCTAACTAAAAAAGGAAAAAAAAAAGAAAAATAGAAAAGCCATTGAGCTCAAAAGTTATTGCAAATTAACAGCTAAAACCCAGCAATAAACAAAAGAGTATAGAAACAAGGATTTGCGAAAGGAAATGTGTCCTACTGGGATGCTCCTAACAAACAGGTGACTGTGTATCACTGGGCTTTGGCAAGAAGATAGACCTTCAAACTAAAGACATTAGCAACCTTTGGGGAGGGACACCCGTTGTCCACAGGGCTCCTGGAGGTTTTGTTTTCAGTTTTCTTTTTGTTTAGGCTTGTTGCTTTCTTTATGTAAATAATTTATCTGTTGTATCAGGTAAATTTATCTGTTGTATTTTATCTGTTGTATCAGTAAACACATGGAGTAGCCTTAAGTAAATATTGACAGCTTAATAGGTCTCCTGAGGATGAGTGGTGGCGGGCCCAGGCTCTTTGTTACAAGCTGTGTGTTAGCCCCAAGGTAGACCCCGTTCAGTGGACACAGGTGATGAGAACGGGCAAGTGAGGGAGAGCTTGTCCTCAGGGAATGTCTCTGCACAGGCCGACCTAACGCCTTTCTCATATCCTATGCTGAAATCCATGATCACTTGTTTATAACACCTTGATTTTTCCCAATCTATCTGATGCTACTTAATTAAACATATCTCATCTTTTTTTCAGAATATGTGGACCCAAATCTATTTTTCAATGTTCTTCGCATATACTTGTCTGGGTACGTAGCCTTATGCTTGAATCTGTTTTCTCTTAGACAATGAACGTAAAGAAGACGACGTTTCCACTGATGGTCCCTACTATCAATCCAGTTTAAGAATCCATTTATATCCTAAAATATACATTGTAAGAAACAACAGACTGTTCTCTGGGTTATTACTTGGCCAGGCATACGCTGGAGTATGGACAGGAAAGCTAGTCATTTTAAAGAGAGTGGAATAATCTTTGGTAGTGCAAACGTAAGGTTTCATGCATAGAATACTTATGTCAGATTTGCTCAGAACCGTATTATTTATTATTCTCATGCATGAACATGAGTAGAAGGGAGAATGTGGAAGAAGTATAATGAAATCTATCTCATTTCACCTTCCATTCATCCTCTATTGCAAGATTTGACATATGAAAATTTGGCAATTCATAAAATAACAATTATTCTTTTCTTCCTGGTTTAGGTGGAAAGGCAACCCTTTGCTGTCAGAGGGTCTGCTGTATGAAGGTGTCTGGGACACCCCAAAGAAGTTTGCCGGAGGCAGTGCAGCCCAAAGCAGCATCTTCCAGTGCTTCGATATTCTGCTGGGCATTCAGCATACTGTTGGTGGAGGTGAGTGGCAAATGACAAATAATCACCATCTCTTATGCTAATAGAATAGTATCTAAAAAGTACTTTCCCATCAGCACCTTATCTGAGCTTATCTGATGCTTTTAGGAGAATAGTAGGGACTTTATTGCAATCATCCCATTTCACAGATGAAGAAGCAGAAACTTAAAGAGGATAATAGCCAGGCTCCCTGTTAACGAGCTAGAAAGCAGTGAAGCCGGAACTTAGACCAAGTTCAACACTGTCTTGATCTTGACCTTTGAACATGTCTATGAGGTCTGATTGACTGTGGTGAAACCAATATCACATGTTCTGAAAATGTAAGACCAGATTCAGAAAAAGAAAGTCTCCTGCAAATGAGATAAGACCATGAGTTGAAACTGGGGAGTGGAGGGGCTTGGCACTGTCTAGTTCCACCGTCCTACTGCCTTGGGGGTCCCGGGGCAATGCCTGCACCAAAGTTTAAAGATGAGCCACACTCATTATATTCCTTCTAGAGGATTAAGGGGGCAGAGGAAGAAGCTCCAGGAAGAACTTCTTTCTACTTTTCTTTGTCTTCCTAAACTTCTATTGAATAGTCAAAGGGGAAAGCTTTGGGCTGCATGATAATACGCTTTTTCCTGAGCTCATTCACTTATTTAAAAATGATCCCTTGGGCTTCCCTGGTGGCGCAGTGGTTAAGAGTCCGCCTGCCGATGCAGGGGACACAGGTTCGTGCCCCGGTCCGGGAAGATCCCACATGCCGCGGAGCGGCTGGGTCCGTGAGCCATGGCCGCTGAACCTGTGCGTCCGGAGCCTGTGCTCCGCAACAGGAGAGGGCGCAACAGTGAGAGGCCCGCGTACTGAAAAAAAAAAAGATCCCTTATATTCTCTTGGATTCAGCAACATGATCTGTCAGGTATAGTACATATACTCTGTCCTTCTTAGAAGGATCAAATCCAGTAGGAAAGTGAGAAAGGAAGCAAAACAAAAATATTAAGAGTTTAGTTCATGTGGTTTTCAGAATTAAGTATATTTTACAATAATTACCTTTACTAGTAGCGAGACTAGTAGGATGCTAACAAGATGGTTGTAAATTCGTGGCCGCCCGCTCCGACCTCACTCTGCCCTTCTTCCCTGGATCGGAGAATGCTTTGGCCTCCTTACTAATCCATTTTTGTCTTTAGTTCCTTCAGACTCTGCTGCTAAATTCCTCCAGGAAATGAGAACATATATGCCATCAGCTCACCAGAACTTTCTTCGCTCGTTAGAGTCAGGCCCCTCGGTCCGTAAGTTTGTCCTTTCAAAAGGTGATGCTACCCTGCAGGAAATTTATAATGAATGTGTGCAAGCCATGGTCTCTCTGAGAAACTACCACTTGCAAGTAGTAGCTAAGTACATTGTGATTCCTGCAAGCCAGTCATCCAAGAGAAAACCAACCTCGGAAGAGCCTTCAGAACCAAAAAATAAAGGAACTGGAGGCACCGATTTCATGGGGTTTCTAAAGACTGTAAGAAATACAACTGTGAATTCCCTGTTGAAGGAAGATTAATCCAAGAAAGGGCTTATATTGCTACCACACGTGGTAATGTCACTTCCCATTATATCAGAAATAGCATTAACATTCATAACTTGAGGAGAGGAAAATAAAACTAATGTCCATAAAAAAAAAACCCTCCACGTGGGTGTTTATAGCAGCTTGATTCATAATTGCCAAAACTTGGAAGCATGAAATAAACCAAGGTACCCATCCTTACAGTAGAATATTATTCAGGGCTAAAAAGAAATGAGTGATCAAGCCAGGAAAAGACCTGCAGAAACATGACACGCATGTTATTAAGTGAAAGGTGTCACTCTGAAAAGGCTACAGACTGTGTGATTCCAACTATGTGACATTCTGGAAAAAGGTAAAACCATGGAGGCAGTAAAAGGATCAGTGATTGCCAGGGGTTAGGGCAGAGGGAGTGATGAACAGGAGAAGCACAGAGGACATTTAGGGCAGTGAAACTATTCTGTATGATAGTATAATGGTGGACACATGCCATACATTTCCCCAAACCCACAGAATGTACACCACCAGCAGTGAACCTTAATGTAAATTGTGAACTTTGGATGCTCATAATGTGTCAATGTAGGTTTATCAGTTGTAACAAGGGTACCATTCTGGTGTGCAGAGCTGTGCATGTGTTGGGTAGAAGATACATGGGGACTCTGTATTTTCTGTTCAATTTTGCTATGGGCTAAAACTGATCTAAAAAAATAAAGTCTGTTAAAAAGAAAACTGCTCTGTGGCCTTCAATAATTCACTTACCTCTCTCGTCTGTTTTCACACATCTAAAAATAATCAGAGATAAATAGATTAAGATGCTTTCCAGCTATGATTCAATCCTGTATGTGACCTGCAAATTCATCCACCAAAAAAATCAATTGATAGGCTACGTTAATCTATGGAAATTTTAAACAACACGCGTTCAAAAGTAGAATAGCTCTTCTATTTCTTCCAGATCATAAAGACAATGATTTTGATGTAACAATTATTTTATATATCTATAATTTTTAAAAGTTTACAATGCATTTTCCCTCAATGGCATTTTTTTCCCTGTCTATAACACTGTCGGTAAGTCAGAACAGGAATTATGTTTCTTATTTTTTGCTGGTGGTTTTCTAACGTGGTGGAGGCGTGGTGAATGAGTAAAGGGCAACACCAGGAAAACTTGTCCTTTGAAGAGAGTGTCGTTTGAAGAGTACACACAACAGGCTGCCTAATTCTCCACGGATAGTCAAAGCCTCATGGACCCTGGGAAGATCTCCAATGATCATGCCAAAACAACCACTACCCACCCATATCTATTAGAGACACACTAATTTAGGCCATTACCCAAACCACCTGAACGTAGGGAATTCTCTCTCAACTCTGTCTCTGTTCCCACAGATTTTTTATTCTCTTTTAGTACATGTCGCTTTTCTCTTATGTAGTGATCATGGCTGTGTGTGTGTGTCTTATTTCACCTGCTAATTTGTCAGTTCCCTGTAGAAAAGATCCATGGCTTTCTCATTTTTACATTACAGCACTTAGCAGTGTACTTAAAACATCATCCGTTAAGAGAAGAAATACATTTAACCCTTGAACAACTTGGGGGTTAGAGACACCAACCTTCCCCACAGTGAAAAATCCGCATATAACTTCTGTTCAGGCCTCTGTACATGTAGTTCCTCAGTATCTGAAATTCGCATCCTGGGATTCAACCCTGACCCTAACCCTAATCCTGACCCTAACTGCGGAACACTGTAGCACTGCAGTATTCAATATGGAAAAGAATCCACGTGTAAGTGGACCCATGCAGTCCAAACCCATGTTGTTCAAGGATCATTTGTAGATGAATACTGCATTGACTCAAGTATTGTTTCATTAACCGGGTTAGACCTAACCCTGTAAGCACCAGAATCTCTGCTCTAATGACTCATTTGTTCAATAACCATTTAATAAGCAAACCTAGGATGCTACCTCCTGAGCTAGATAGTAGGAAAGATTAAGGGCGCCAACCCTACCTTCAAGGAGCCCACTAGTGGAGAAATGGACAAATGGATTGTTTCAGCACAATGAAATAAGGGCTATATAAACATAAGCAGACAGTTTAGCAGTATAGAGTCCCCAACCCAGACTAGAGGGCAGCAGAGGGGGTGGGGCTTTCCATGGACAAAGCAGGGAAGGGGAGGGTACTGAAAAAAGTACGTGGTAAGAATAGATTTTCCTCGTTGAGGCAATACATGAGATGAGTTTTAAAGGGTGATTACTGTACAATATGCAAACCAAAGGCTAGAAAATTCCAGGAAGAGGAAGAAGGGTGTTCAAAGGCTAGCAGCTCAACAACGTCTATTGAGGAAGACACAGAGCTCAATACGGCTGAAGCATTAAAGAATAAAAAGGGCCATGCGAAAAAGGAGTTTCAATTTATCCTGAAAACAGAGGGAATGTTTTTAAGCAGAGAAATGACTTTATTATATTCGTCTATTTGAATCATATTTAAATGAAGCATTGCCCATTGTAAAGAAATATGCATTTAAATGACTGGTAGTATTGGGGGAAAAATAGTAGGGGTGGGATAAAATGGGGAGTGATAATGAAGGCAGGGGGATGAGTTTGGAGGTTGTAAAAGGAATCCAAGCCTGCAACGATGGGAAAGTATCATGGCCTTAGATTTGAGGCAAAGAGATCAGTTAAGGATTGGAATATATACTCTTCCAACAGTAAATGGTGAGGAATTGAAAACAATGGCAGTGGCATTGGAGATCATGGAAACATAAGAACTATCATGGCAGTAAGAGTGGCAGGACTGGTGTTCTGTTGGATGTGATAAGGGATGACTTTTAGGTCTCTAACGATCAGCTACGTCAACAGAGTTACTAGGACCAGCCCATGCTGTCAGGTAGGGTCTTGCATGCAGGAGGGCCCACACTTGGCTTCATACTCTACTGTCACTGTCTTGAAATTCTGAATAAGTTTGAACAAGGGTCCTTACATTTTTATTCTTCTCTGCGCCCCACAAATTATATTGCCAGTTCCGAAAGATACCATTCACCAAGACACGGCATCGATGGGGGAGATGAGCTTGGTTCTTATTATCAGAGAATAAGTAATAAGTAAGCCTTGGATTTGTTGCTTGGCAGTGGGCTCTCTGTTCAAGAGCTTGAACTAGTTGCTGGAGGTTTTGTAAGCATTTGCCCTGGTCTTAATGGAAGGTGTCTAGTCTATGACTGATGTGTTAAGGTATTTCTTATGAAGCGTCTACAGAGCAGTTGAGTAAAGATGTCTAGTAGATGGTAGGAGAGACCCAACTACAAACAAAATGTTGGGAGTCCTTAGCCTAGAGATGATGGCTAAAGTCTTTGAACAGAGGCAATCACCCAGCGAGAGGGAAGTCAGGACCTGAACTAGGGAGGGCACCAATGGTAAACTGTAACCAGAACAATGAGAGAGAAAAACCAGAGAAGGGAAGCCATGCCTCTAGTGGTTAAAAGTGATGACTTTCAAGTCAAATGGCTCCAGCCCTGACTCTACCACTTACAAAAAGTATGACCTTGGGCTCTTACTTAACTTTCCCAAGCTGCGGTTTCCTCAGTTGAATGATGGGGATAATAATAGCACCTAACTCACAGGGCTGTTGTGAACATTAAGTAAGGTGCTCCATGGGAGATGCTTACCATAGGACTTGGCACAGAGGAAAAAAATCAGTGAGTGTTAAGTATCAGTTCTATCTTATTAGTTTTAAGTATAGTGCAACCAGAAGGAATACGTGTCATAGGAAATGTCAAAAAGAGAAGAGAGTTTAAAAAAAAAAAGCAAAATGCCAGATGCTTGAACAATTAGAAAGGACTAGAAATTCCCATTGAATTTATGAACAAAGGTGTAATTAATGAGCTGTACCAGATTAACCTCAGTGTACCAGTGCTGTCTGGGCTGATTGCTTTTGACAATTCAGATTTGGGACTTTATCAATTTGAAACTAAAACTGAGTATATCTGAAATCACACACAGAAAATTTTCCATTGTGAATGTTTTTCTTTCTTTTTTGAACATTTCTTGGTACATTTCCAAAAGGCCTTAATGCCCTGTTTAAGAGATGGGGAACCTTCGTTGTGTACTGAAACTACAATAATTCATGGGAAAGCTGATTATAGAACCCAGGACTCTGAAATGACCAACCTTACTATTAGGAGAGGGAGTTCTTGGGCACAATTATGTTTAACCAACTTCCTCTTGGTAAATAAGAAAGATGCCAAGCAAAGCTTCATGAGGCCACTGTGTTCCCTACTTCAGAATATGTCTCTGGGACTAGGGTTACAATGGTGTAACAGAGAACAGCACAAACTTCTGCCTGGCATCAAGACACCAAATCTAAAAATGAGATGTTGAGAGACATCATTCATTTAACCAACATTTATTGAACTTCAGACACTGAACTTGCTGATAAAGGAAAATACAAAGTTGTGTTAAATATGGGTTCGTCAAGGAACTTACAACCTAATAGAAAAGATTAGAGGGGCTTCCCTGGTGGCGCAGTGGTTAAGAATCTGCCTGCCAATGCAGGGGACATGAGTTTGAGCCCTGGTCCGGGGAGATCCCACATCCTACGGAGCAACTAAGCCCATGCACCACAACTACTGAGCCCGCGTGCCACAACTACTGAAGCCTATGCTCCTAGAGCCTGTGTTCCGCAGCAAGAGAAGCCACCGCAATGAGAAGCCCGCACACCGCAACGAAGAGCAGGCCCTGCTCCGCCACAACTAGAGAAAAGCCCGCGCGCAACAAAGACCCAACACAGTCAAAAATCAATCAATAAGTTTATATAAAAAAAGAAAAGATTAGATAAATACAATGTTTGAGTGTTAGTAACAGTCAACTAGGTAGAACTTGAAACACGATGTAAAACAGGTTCAGGTGATAGAAGAATTTTGCACAGCTAGAGGGTGTTTAGAGGTCAGGAGATGGACATCCTTGAATGTCAGGGCAAGGAAATTTGAACTTTATTTAATTTACAGGGAGGAGTTCTTAATGATTTTGTGGCAGAATCTGAGATGTTCACTGACCCACAAGTTCCATGGACCTAGACCTTGGAAGTAAGAAAAGTCAAGGCTGAATATGCAGGCTTGGATACCTGAGCATAGAATTGATGGTTAAGATCAGGTGGAAATACATAAGAATACTGAGGTGGGGAAATGGTTATAATAATGCTGCAAATATCTATACATTTAGGTCTGAAGTAGGGAAAGGAGTCAGCTACTGAAACAGAAAAGATATACTCAGAATGATAGGGAAGGATATCAGAAAAAATAAGATATTAAAAATGTACTTCCAGAATGAGGGGAAAAGAACATGAGAAAAACAGTATTTACTGTTACCCATTTGATAAGTGCTTTACTTAATGTTCCTCATTTATTCACTGGGATAAACATTACTATTTCCTGTAGATGTGGAAACAGAAGCTTAGAATTTTAAGCCACTTGTTTAAAAAGCCACATAGCTAATAGGAGACGGAGTAGAAATTCACACTCGGGTAGGCCAAGCTGAGTGGGCTGAGTGGAAAGTTCTGGGCTGAGAAGTCCAAATTCTAGTCCAATTCTGATGGTAATACCCAGGGTGACATTTGGTAAGTCATTTCACTCCAATAAACCTCAGGTTTTTCATATTTGCTGAGAGCATTGGACTAGGTCGCTTATTCCGTCATGCTCTTTTTAGTTTTGGTATTTTGATGCCGCTGTCTTATAATGTTACAGTAAATC